GTTAAAGACATGTTAAAAGCTCTTGCCTGGGAAGTATTAACACACCCGTCGTATTTACCAGACCTTGCTCCTTCAGATTACCACTTGTTCCGATAGATGGCACACGAACTTTCTGAGCAGCACTTCAAAAGGTACGAAGAAGTGGAAAATTGGGTCTCTGAATGGTTTGCCTCAAAACAAGAAAGTTCTATTGGGACGGTATCCACAAATTACCTGAAAGATGGGGGAAATGTGTAGCTAGCGATTGACATTACTTTGAATAAAGCACTTTTGATGTTTCTCTTGAAATTACTGTGTGTTTTTTTATTATTACAAAATCCGCATTATTAACTGGTACACCTGGTATATGATCTTTAGTCCCATCCAGCTCAAAAATCCTGTTAGACTTCACACAGACATTCAGGCCTCCATGCGCCACTTTACTTTGCAGAGTAAAGTTGGCTGTCATGACTTGCCCTAGTAACTTTGTTGAGCACACATGCATGTCTACTCATTACCTTCTAAAGGTGGGGGTAAACACAGCCTACTGGAAGGCAACACGCACTATTGACTTCTACGATGGTCCCCAATACCTATGGCACCTAAAGAGGGCTTTTGTAATATCAAATGCATCAGCAACTGGTACCCTACCATGTTTTTAAAAATTCTGCAGCAGAAATTAAAGATGATCTAAAAAATTGTAAAGAAATCTCATGCTCATGGATTGGAAGACTTAAGATTGTAAAGATGGTGAGAGTCCCCAAAACCATCTACAGATTCAATGCAATCCCTATTAAAATGCCAATACACTTTGTTGCAGAAACGGAAAAACTTGTCCTCAAATTCATATGGAATTGCAAGAGGCCCCTGATAGCCAAAATAATATTGAGAGAGAAGAACAAAGTTTGAGGACTCACATTTTTGGATCCTACTATGAAACTATAGTGATCGAAACAGTGTGACACTAGCATAGGATACATATGTAGATCAGTGGAATAACATAGAGAGTCCGAAATAAACCCATATTATCTCTGGCCAATTGAGTTTTGACAAAAGTGCCAAGCATTCATTCATAAAGGAAAAGAATTGTCTCTTCAACAAATGATGCTGGGACAATTAGATGTCTACATGCAAAGAATGAAGTTGGTCCCTACACATCATGCCATATATAAAAAAAATTAACTCAAAATGTACCAGTGACCTAAATGTAAAAGTTAAAACTATAAAACTCATAGAAGAAAATCTATGAGTAAATTTTCATGTCCTAGGATTTGGCAATAGATTCTTTTTAATTTTTTTTTTTTTTTAATTCTCATCTAAGGATATTACTCCATTAATTTTAGAGAGAGTGGAAGAGAGGGAAAGACAGAGAGAAACATCGATTGGTTGCCTCCTGCACTCACCCTGATGAGGGCCTGGGCCAGGGAGGAGCCTGCAACCAAGGTACGTGCCCTTGACTGGAACTGAACCCAGGACCCTTCAGTCCACAGGCCGGCGCTCTATCCACTGAGCCAAAACAGCTAGGGCAGATTCTTAAACATGACACCAAAACACGAGCAACAACAACAACAACAGATATTGGAACTCATCAAAATTAAAAACTTACGTGTTTCAAAGGGCATTATCAAGAAAGTGATTAAGACACAGAATGGGAGAAAATATTTGCAAATCATATAGCTGATGAGTCTATTACCTAAAATGTATAAAGAACTCTTGCAATACATCAACAATAAAATAAAAACCCAATTCAAAAATGGGCAAAGAACTTGAATAGACATCTGGGGGTGGAGGGGGAAAGACATACAAATTGCCAACAAGCACAGGCAAAGATGCTCAATCATTAGTCACTAGGAAAATGCAAATAAAAATCACAATGAGTTACCACTTCATATAGGCTAGGATTAAAAAAAAAAAAAAAAAGGACAGTAACAAGGATATGGAGAAACTGGAACTCCCATGCATTGCTAGTGGGAATGTAAATAGTGCACCTGCTGTGGGAAAGTTTTGTGGTTCCCCAAAAAGTTGAAGACCGAATGACTCCAATTCTATTCCTACGCATACTATACCCAAGAGAAATAAAAACTTGTACAATAGTGTTTATAGCCATAAAGGTAGAATTGGCCAAAAGAAAGAAACAACCCAAATGTACAACAGATGAATGGACAAACTGTTGCATATCCACACAATGAACAATTTAGCCATAAAAAAGAATGAAGTATTGATACATGCTAAAATGTGGATGAATCTCAAAATCATTATGGTAAGTGAAAAAACCAAACACAACAGTATGAGGTATCCAGTATAGGCAAATCCATACAGACAGAAAGCAGGTTGGTGGGGTTGCCAGGGGCTTGAAGGAGAGGGTATAGGGTATGACTGGTTAATAGGTATGAGGTTCTCTTTTGATGTAATGAAATGTGCAATGTTATGGACTATAAAATGGTTCTTTTAATGTTCTGTAAGTTTATCAATGAAAAAATATCTGCAGATAAACCACTTTTCAAGCAACTTTAAAGAAAATCTCTTCTACACAGAAAAATATTATATCAAGTGCTGAATTCCACTCACAGAACAAATATTTATAAACTTAAAAGAAAATATTAGTTAAGAAATTAGAACTTTGGGAAGAAAACAGACTCTCAAACAAATAATTACATTCTCAAAGTTCTAAGAATTCCATGTATTTATACACTGAAGGCAATGAAAAAATTAAAAAATAAAAGCTTTCATTAGCACTCTGATATGGTAGTTTTAAAACAAGGATGGGCAGTGTTAAAAAGTGAATGTTAAAAAAGATAGATGTGCTTTATGTACTATCCTCATCAGTAAGAGACTTTTGGAAGAATGCATAGTAATACTGCATCTTTCCAGTGGCATATATTAGCAAGTTTTACTACCACCATGAGGATAACGAAATAGGACCAGTCTATTATGGAATATGAGAGAAAACTCTGAGATTCTAGAGAGCAGACTATTCATATTTTTAGCAAGAATAAAGATAGAACTGAAACCTTTCCCATCATCTTACATTGTATCTAGTTGTCTACTTCTTCAAATGCAGCAAATATAGCTCCATTTTTACAAAAAATGATTTTGCTCAAATGGCTGAAAGGCGGTTTGGGATAGTACAGAATCTGTACTTTCCAGTGGTGGGTCTTTCTTGCTCTGATTCTTAAGAAAGAATTCCAATGCCCAGATAAGTAGAGAAATTCGGGCTGGAAAGTTACAGAACAGACCCAAATCGTTGATCCTCTCTCTGCCCTAATGACCCCTCACGGCATCTAGCAAACCACTGGTTGTATAGACACTGGAATCACTGGAATGATCCCCCTCCCCCCACCCAACACCGCCCCATATATGGAGAAAAGTACAATTGTGAGGAAGGGAAATGAACAGAATTAATCTACTCTACCAACCCAATCTCTTTCTCAAAGACTGTCCTCTATGGTTGCTTGCCACCCAACAACAGCTGCTCATGATAATCAATGTCTGACAGATCAGAGAAAGCCCTTAATGTGTCGCCAAGGGGCAGTTCAACAGATGGCATGGTGACTTACAACCAGAATCATTAATTACACACTCTTATTAGTCCCGGGGGCACAGCGCTGAAAATGCTTTTTCAGTGAAAGACGAGCATTTCAGATAAATGACCGTCTGGTACTGCCTGCGAAGCTCCCTTTAGGACTTTTGGTCAGTGCTGATTTTTAAATCTAAGCCATACTATTTTTACAGCCGTTTCCTACCTTCCACTTTCAGGCTGGCTAGGAATATGAAGTTCCCAGTACCACCTCTCATCATCACTCCATAATCACTGCAGGTAAGCATCTGATTAAAAGTGCCCATCATTCATTTCCCCCCTCAAGTCAGGTGACTGTGTTCAAAGGCAAACACAATCTCAGCCACTGGACTAGCTCAATTTTCCCTCCCTTGGTACCAGAGAATAGTGTTTCCTGAGTGCAGGGTGGGACATGGGGACTATCCCCTCCCTTATCTACGCTCACATTTCTTATAATATGGGATTGATTCTCCAACTCAGTGGTTCTCAACCTTCTGGCCCTTTAATACAGTTCCTCATATTGTGACCCAACCATAAAATTATTTTCGTTGCTACTTCCTAATTGTAATGTTGCTACTGTTATGAATCATAATATAAGTATCTGATATGCAGGATGGTCTTAGGTGACCCCTGTGAAAGGGTCGTTCGACCACCAAAGGGGTCGTGACCCACAGGTTGAGAAGTGCTGCTCCAGCTCAAAACTGTCCTCGTCCCAAGCCACTGGCTGCAATGTCTCCATGTCTCTTCAAAAAAAGAGAAACAGACACTACAGAAAAGGAAGCCTGGGGCAAGCAAACATTCCCAAATGTCCACAGTGGTGGCTGTGTTATCCCAAGGGACTAAGCACCACATTCGTAATTAAGAAGCCAAACAAATGGATGGTGAAGAACTAGTTCTTAAGCACCTTCCCAAAGGCATTCAAACTAATGCCAACTCGGGATAAAAAGTAGTTCCTTCTAACAGTTTGAGAACCGGGCTCCATAAACATGACTGGAACTTCAGAACTGACTGCAGACAGAGCTTGGAGGCAGACTACTTATTGGCTTTACATGATACAAGTCAGAAATAAATCTCAGTATAACCCAAAAGAAAAACTTTAAGCATTTCCAAAATACCACCAAATAAAGTCTTTGATGTAGCTGACTCCTTTTTGTACCTCAATCTACAATTTTTTAAAAATCTGAGTTCAAACTAAAATAACATTAAGATCCTAAATGTTGTGATTTAAGAATTCATCGTGTGTTTGCTACATTCATATTTGTTCTTTCTTGGATATATAAAAATGTGATTTCAATTTTCAATTAGGTTCAAATAATTGCAATACCTGAAAGATGTTCTCATCTCATCCATTTTTATACGACAAAATGAAAACAAAAGTGCTAATGAAGGCATCATGAAAACCTCCTAAAGTGGGCTACAGGAAAGGAAACTTGGGAAGTCTAGGTCTGCCTTGCAATGTACTCACTTCTAGTTTTTTCTCCTTTTCTGACAAAACATCTTTCTGGTTCTGGGTGTACTCCACCAACATCCGAGCCAGCTGGCGCCGGTCTTCCAGTTCCGCCGCCAGGCGCCCGTTATATTCTGCTAGTAACAGACATGCTTCATCTACTGTTTTTGAAAGACGTTCAGCTGCCTCTTTGTCTAAGTACAAATAAGACCAAAAAATAGAGACAATATACAAATCACATAGGCACCATTGCAAACATTTCTAGGGGAGGTTAACAGTTTCTCTCCAAAAGTACAGAGTCCAAGCATAAGCCAGAATCTGTGGATAAAAAATGGAATGGCTGATGGAGAAACCCAAAGGCACTCACTCCTGTCAACAAGACAGGACACTTCTGAATTACTTGAAGTGAGGCAATTGTACAAGGAGGGGAATCTGGCAAACAAACATTTCTAAGTGTCTACTCCTGCAAAAGCTCTACAAATAAAATAAACAGAAAGAAATATTTAATGTCATACATGAAATAATTTTTCCATGTCTCTGAGAATTCAAAATGACTTTCATATTATTTTGTGAAGTATGCTTTGAACAGTCCTCTGAAATACAAAATACAAGCACTATAAGGCACTGTATGCAATAATACAAAAGCTAGCACTCACTACTTGGGTGTGGAAATTGTAAGAAAAAATAAAACACTACATAACAGGTGTGATATCAAGTCAGCTAAGGAATTGGGACTCAAAACCAGGTCTCTAAAACGGACCTACAGGACTCTACATCTTAAACTATACAAGCCTTGAAACTGGGTCTGAGTTTTCTTCCTCCATTCAGCAAAATATCAGGTCTGATAAAACAGAGGCTTTCAAATGCTTCTGAGCATGACCCACAGTAAGCAATGTACTTTATATAAACACATAAAAATAAAAGAAACAAAAGTTTCATAAAACAACACTTATCCTTACTATGTGCAAAGTGCTCTATCTTCTATTCTATTAAAAAATAAATGCTAGTCATTACCTACCAGACTGATTTCATGTCCAATTAATGGGTTACAACTCATTGTTTGGAAAAAAAACTGTGATGAAGTATCAAAGTATAAGAAAGGTTATTCTTAGAAATGATGAAAATGCTTCAACATTAGGAAATGAGAGGAAGAGACAAAGGATGATTTATATTTAAAAGAACAAATAAAATTAACTACACATGGGTAGTGGTGAGGTTAGACCTTCAAATATGTATATCTCATTTTTAAAAGGCCTTTGAAGATCAAAAGAGTAGATAGGTATTTTGAAGCAAAGAGCACTAAGGACTCTAGTTCTATGAGACTAAAAGTGAGTTGGACTTTATTACAAGTTATCAGAGGTGAAAGACCTCAGCATACTCATAGGTAATTGGGAATTAAGAATTCCCAACAGTTTCTCTGGCAAACTGCTCTTTGGCTTTTAGGTGCCTTCCCCCCCTTTTATTTATTTTTTTTTGTTAATCCTCATCTGAGGATATTTTTTCCATTGATTTTGAGAGAGAGTGGAAGGGAGGGAGAGTAAGAGAGAGGGATGGGGGTAGGGGAGGGGAAGGGAGAGGGAGAAAGAGAGAGAGACAGAGACAGACACACATCAATTGGTTGCCTCCAGCATGCACCCTAACCAGGGCCAGGGATCAAATCTGCATCCCAGGTACATGCCCTTGACCAGAAATCGAACCTTGATCCTTGGGTGTGCAGGTCAATGCACTAACCACTGAACAGCACCAGCCAGGGCATAGGTACCTTCTTAATATGAATATTGGGAGATGAACAGTTGAGGGACTCCGAATTAATTCTGATGCCAACGATCAGGCACTTCTATCCCCTCAGGGATAGGAAAACAAAAAGATGTTCTTGGTGAAGGAGGAGTGAGCCAGACAGAACACAAAGGAGAGACAATCTCAGTCATAGAGGGTAAAGAAGACAGTGAAACTTATTCTTCTATATTGGTGGCTGAGTCTGAGAATAAGCTACTGGAGTAGTTAGACTGCTTTTACCTTTAACTATATGGTTTTTATAAAATGGTTAATTCATTAAGATGTTTAAGCACTCTATGGCAAAAAAATGACACAAAAAACACAACTATTTAAGATTTTTAAAATATCAATTCTCACTCTCTAAGAACTTGGTACAAGGGAGATAATGCATTCACACAAATAATTACAACCCGGAAAAATAACTTGTAATAGTTTTATAAGCTATAGAAAACAATGCAGCGAGATGTTCACTACACGGTACTTACCTGCGGTGGTCCTCAGGTGCTCTGCCTCCCTGTGACACAGATGAAAGGCTGTGTGGCTTTCAGCCAGCCTCCACTTGTGCACGAGCATCACATTCCCCCTTGCTTCCTCCAAGACTGTTTCTGCATAGGTCCCATTTCCCCATGCCGCACCCGTTTCTCTCTTCCTCTCCTGAAGCACCACCAGCAGCACACAAACACGCTACTCGACCTTTGGCCCGCATTTCACTCCAATTACTGGTCTGTTTCCCTGCACCCTTTACAGCACTCCTCAAGGGAGCTGCCTATACTCCTGGTACTCAACTTTTCTTCTCCCACGGTCAATAAACCCACTCCAATTAGACTTTTATACCTATCAATCCTCTGTTCAAAACCTTCCACTTAGCTTAGCAAATATTTGGGCTCCTACTGCGTGCCCAGCACCGTTCTAGGCTCTGAGACAAACTGAACTTGGGGGGCAAAGACAAAACTTCTGTGCCTCCCAAGTTCACATTCTCAGGTAGAAAGAGAAACAATACACTATAATTGACTTATTTATCAATTGAAGATAAGAACTCTGGAGAAAAATTAGGCAGAAGAGAAAGAACAAGGCATTGGAAGGGAGAATTGTAATTTTAAATAGGTGGTCTGGGTAGACTTCACCAAGATGATATGTAAACCAAGGCCTAAAGGAAGTTACAGAACTATCTGGGGAAGACTATTCCAAACAAAGGGAACAGCAAGAACAAAGGCCCTAGGAGGAGAGAGTGACTGGCAGGAAGTCCATATGACTGAGCAGCGAGCAAGGAGAAAGTAGTGAAAGTCTATGTGGTAATAGGGGCCAAACTGTGGATGCCGCTGAAAGACTGGTTTTTACTCTAGGGGCTGGGGGAACACAGGGAGACTTGATCTAACTCCCATTTTAACAGATCATTCCGATTACTGTGTTGAGAAAAGAATGATGGTTTCGGATGGGGGACAAGGAGGAAGCAGAGAGACCAGATAGGAGATTGCTAATTCAAATGAAGATGGTGGTGACTCCCACCAGGTAGTGGCAGTGGAGGTGGTGACAAGGTGTCAGATACTGGTTGTGGTCCCAATCAACAGAATAATGAGGGAGCCGTTTACTAAGATGGGGACGACCGTGAGAGAAACAAGGTTTGGAGGGAATATCAGAGATTTGGTTTGGGGCAGGTTAAGTTTGAAATATCTATTGAGATAGCCAACTAGAAATACTAAATAGGAGGTTGGATGTCTAGGTCTCAAGGTCAAGAGGTTAACACTAGAGAGATAAATTAGGGATCACTAGCAAACAAAACAAAACAAAAGAAAAACCTGTTAAAGTAACCAGACTGGATGAGCTGAATTGTCAGTGAACCCAAGAGAAGAGGGCTAAGTACTTTATATTATGAGGTCAAAGAGAAGTGAAGAAACCAGCAAAGAAAACAGAAAAGACACAGCCAGAGAGAGAAGAGGAAACCTAGGGAAATACAGGTCCTTGTTTGCTACTGCTGCTGTAACAAATCACCACAAACTTAGTGGCTTAAAACAACACAAACAGATTATCATAGTATTTATTATTGTGGACCGTTCTTCCATCTTCAAGTGTATCACCCTGACTTCTGCTGTTACAATCCTATCTCCTTCTGACTCTTGCCCTCCTACCTCCTTCTTATGACCACATGATTACATCAGACCCACCTGAATAGTCCAGGACAATGTTCCCATCTCAAGATCCTTAATTTAATCACATTTCAAAGTCCCTCCTGCCATGTAAGATAATATGTTCATAGGTTCCAGGATTTAGGACATAGACATTTTAAGGGGATCACACCACACCAAGTGAGAAATTATTTTCAGGAAAGAGACACAATCAACTGGGCCAAATGTTACTGAGGTTAAGATGATCTCAAGTTAAGAATGGGCAAAATATTCACCACTGAATTTAGCAACAGAGAGGTCATCAGCAATAAGTTTCGGTAAAGTAGAATCAAAAAAGAACAAGAGAAGGAGAAACAGGGCCAGGTGAGCATAGGCAATTTAAGCTATTTTGCTATAAAGAACAGAGAAATAAGGTGGTAGCTAGGAAGATACGGGTCAAGAAAAATTTTCCCACGTGGGAAAAAACATGTTTTTATGCTCTGAAGAATGATCCAGTAGAGGAAAAAATTGGAAGATCCAAGAGAAAAGTAGAGTTCTGTTGGAGCAATGTCCTTGAGTAGGTGAGAAGGAACAGTTCTAACAAACAAGCAGAGGGACTGGTCTGGAAAACAGCATGTCATCCACAGAAAGAGGAAGAAAAGTCAGCCAATGTGTGCTTTGTTTTCCTCAGACTCATACAGCTGTGCAGATCCAGGACAGAAATAGGTGAAAAGCTGGATTTAAGAATGGGGGATGCCAGGGGGTGGGGGTGGGAGGAGTGAGGAGAGGATGGGATGGTAAGCTGTTATTTAATGGGTATAGAGTTCCAGTTTTATAAGATAAAAAGAGTTCTGATATTTGGTTGCACAACAATGTAAATGTACTTAATAGTTCTGAACTGTACTCTTAAGATTATAAAGATCCTAAACTAAGAAAAAAATGAGGACATAAGGGGAGTGAAGATTGGGAAAAGATGGAAGGATCAATAGACTGTGAAATCTAGCAGGAAGTGAGCTGAAATAATTTTTGTATGATTTAGAAGGCCTCCTTGTTGTGTTCTCAGCTAAGTACATTCCTTCCTGAAGGTCTTTCCATGTACTGTTCCCTCTGCCTGGCAGCATGTCTTCCCCTCAGATAACATCATGGCCTGCTTCCTAACTTGGGGGACCTCTGATTGAAGATCATCTCACCAGAAAAGCCTTCCCTGATCACTTTAAAAATAGTAGTACCTCCTTCAATTATGTCCACCATCACACCCCTGCTTTATTTTTCTTTTTGGCACTTAAGCCATGAGGAGATGTGGTAGTACACCAAGAGCATCTGCTACACAGTGTGCCTCAAATATTTGTTGAATGAAGGAAATGTTTCATGAGCCACCTTGATTTCCTTTAAATGGATATGGAGGAAGTTAATGAAGCAGCCAAGTCAAGGAACTGGAATGGAAAAAATAGTGGCCCTCAGAAAAGAGCGGAATGAAAGGTCTGAACTTTTCTAATGGAAAGAAAATAGGCTTTGCAGCCCATCTTGAAAACCCAAGATCTTGGGCAAGACCCCTAACATCTCAAAGCCTGAATTTCCTCCTATGTAATATGAGGATTTATATTCAGTTGTCTCAAAAGATTAATAACACGAAGAGTAGAAGTATATGGCACAGAGCATGTTCTATAAATATTAGTTCATGCTTCATTCCTTCCCTTCAATTTCTCATGCATAAAGGGAGATTAATGTCAACTGTCCCTCCCTGTTTAATTGGGGGTGATCATCAATAGGGCAAACTGACACAACTAACAATACACATCTAGAGTTCTTGGCATTGAAGGCACTATCATCTATGGGGAGTGTCAGTGTGCAATGTATAAATCACACAGCACTGAAATATATATATATTTTTTAAATAAGAGAGTCATGAATTTAATGCCTTCCCCCCTCAGTCCCCAGCCCACACAATTTCCACTATGTTTTCAACAGATCTTACTTACAATGCCACAAAGATGTATGGCATGCCAGCATATTTGCAATAATTCCTAGAATCTCTATTCAAGCTTGGACTATTCCAGCAGCTTCATTGTTTGGCATGTCAGTTATGTTTCTACATCCCAGGATGGCAGAGCACCTAATACCAAATGGATAGTCTACACCTACAGACATAAGTATGCCATTGAGTTTGATGAATTAGAGATATGTCCTTCTTCCCTCATCTTTCAACCAAATTCTTCCTTCTCACCTGTTATTTTTTCCAACAGAGAAACATCTTGCACTTCCTGGGGCAAAGAAGCAATTTTCTGTCGGACAGTAGCATCCCCTGATGCAGCATTTTCCAGGTCCTGCAAAGCTTTGATTAGTTCCTCAGTCTATACAATAAAACACAAACAACACTATCCGTTAACACATGGGGTATAAAAATAATTAGTTGGAGTTAAATGAGGTGGAGGCAAATTCTAAAAATGATCATGTCTGCCCATGGCAGAACATGAGTAAAATTCTAGATAATTTTATATCCTTTCACAAAAATCTATTTTTAAAGAATATTCTCAATTTCTAGGAGTGAAAAAATGCTAAATCCAAATACACTTTAAAACATAAATCCATGCCAAAGTCCTGCCACGCAAAGACAAAGTCAAGCCGGCTGTCTTGCAAGCTTCACTGGGTGGATTTTGTACCCAGTGCCCTGAGAACTACCCTTTGGTGATTCCATAGTATTGGTCACCTGCGCCACCTTGTGGTCATAATCTCCAACCAGAGGTCACTTCACCAAGTCACTCTGCCCTATCCTCTGGGGATGAAGACATACCAAGAGGGGTCCTGCAGAAGGATCTTGGGGAGAGTAGCTTCCAGGGTAGTCATCATCCTCCTCCTCTTGTATCTGTTGAAAAGTTCGCTTCAGAGATTTCTTCTCCTCTGTTGCTACAGGAAAGAAAGAAGTGACAAATTTGAGTCACCAAAGCCTGCAAAGATAAGAGTTAAATGTTATGCATAATGGGTCACATGTAAAAGGGGCAGGAGGGGTCATTTTCAGGGATAGCTTAACATTAACCTCTTATGAGTTATTTTAAATTGGTGGTAGTTCTACTTTACTGAATAGAGTCAAAATGGACTTAGTCTATCATCTCAGATTGACTCACTGGAAAAATACTACTCAAAACAAACATCTAAAATCATGTTAAACTTACTAAACTAACACATTTCATTTAAAAACTCATTATCTTAAAAAACAAAGTTAACAGAAGTAAAATGGTAAGAAATCCATCAAAAAATATAATGAAGCAAGCCGATGTGTACAAGAGTTTATAGAGAATATGCTGCATATAAAACAAGATTTGTTACGCTTTCTGGGATAAGTTCAGAAAATAAACAGTAGAGAGAAACCCAACAAAATTGTGTCGGAACTTCTAAACATAAATATCCTTAATCCTTTTAAAAACAAAACAATCCTATCTTAAAAATAACTATGACAAATATGATTGATATTACTGGGAAAAATTACTTAAGTTTCCATTTAAAAATTAACCAATTTTGAAGCTAACAGTTTACATTTTTAATTATCTGTACTGTGTGCTTTTATCTTGTTATGATATATGTATTAATTCCAAGATCATTCATTTTACACCAAATTGTACAATACAAAATAAATGCCAGACAATTATGGGACATAAATCTAAATGATAAATTTAGGTTTGGAAAGTAAAGAAACTATTGGATGCCCTGCCAGTGTGGCTCAGTGGTTGAGCATCAACCTGTGAACCAGGAGGTCACAGTTTGATTCCCAGTCAGGGAACATACCCAGGTTGCGGGCTCGATACCCAGGAAGGGGTGTGCAGGAGGCAGCCAATCAATGATTCTCTCCCATCATTGATGTTTCTATCTCTCTCCCTTTCCCTTCCTCTCTGAAATCAATAAAATAAAATAAAAAGAAACTACTGAACTCCTAATATGTGCCAGGCATTATAATAGTTACTTTACATGTAATCTTTCCAACAATTCTAAGATGTAATATTTCCATTTTACAGGTGAGAAAATGAAGACTCAGAGAGATTAAGTAACACATTTAAAGGTATGAGTACAAAATCTGTGCTCTTTTCAAGGCAGTCACACAATTATCCTCTCATCTATTAAATGAGGGGTCACCATGCACCTGCCTCAGAACTCTGTAAGTTATAAACAGAACATATTCTTCTTGCTTAACTGAACATGTTCTTCTAGAATCAAGGATGTAGTTCCTGTTTTCTACCTTACACATTAATTGGCCAAGCTATGTTTGATACGAAAGCCAAGTTAATAACATGAACTTTATTTTTCTTAATGTTTTTGGCTGTTGTACTAAAAAAAGAAACATCTGCAATACAGGCAGTCCTCACTTTGCACAATTCTAGTATGCACAGATTTGTTATCATGGTTTAAACAGCGCAAGTTCCTCAACAACATGGTCCAAATTTCATCTACCATGGCCTATTAACTATGAGTAATTGCATAAAGAGCAAGCTTCACTACTAACTGCAGTCCACAAATCACTAAGTAAATAACAGAAGTGCATCATGATCAGTGACCATATCACTTCTTCAAGGTCAGTGACTGGTCACTGCACATCTGTTATTCAGTTCAGACACAGACTGTAGGTTATGTGATCCCCCAATGATAAAATCCATAAGACATTTTATAAAAATGAATAATCAAAACAGAGAACTGACTGACAATGATGAAAGAGCAGCAAAGAAATTAAAACTAAAACTAATACTATATAAGTGAAATCTGAAGGGACCGTCAATGGAGCTATAGCAGAAACAGCTAGCTGTAGGAATGTTGGCACTGCCACAGGCATCTAGAGACTCTGGATTCAAAGCCAGAGGAACTTAGTGAGCCAACTTATCAAATCAATGAAGAAAGTGGTTGTGATGAAAATGACAATGTCCCAGGGGAAGTGATGCTGACAAAGAACTTCATATTAAAGGAACTCTCAGAGATATTTTCATGACATTGAAAACAAAGAATAAAATGTTGGAAGCTGAACCAAACTTAGGAGTATGACAATTCATTAAGACAGAAAAGATACTTGTTCTGTATCATAAACTGTACAAGTAAGCAAGCTCTATTTGAATCACTTGTTACAAGCTTGCTACAAAGAAATAAAACACTTTAATTCTCAATGCTTCCAATTTTTTGTTATAGCATGCTAAATATTAATTTTACTACCTATTGCTTCCATATACAATTATAATCAACAGTGAGATTTTAATTCTTTAACAAAAAATCTTACATATGTAATACTCTTTGTAATACTTCAAGCAATAAAACAAAATTTTAAAAAAAATCTTAAAAGTTACAGAACAATCATAACTTTATTGATTATTAAAATCACTTTGCATGGTTTCAGCTTACATGGTCACTTTTAAACTGCTGCACTACTGTGCAATGCAAGGACTGCTGTATTTTTAAAACAGAAAATCTTTTAGGATATACTTTGCACTGAAATATCTAGCAGTAATTTGCACATAGTAGCTATCTGATTAATGGATAGTGTGTGGTATGACCCACAGAGATTTAACCACTACACTTAGAATTTAAGCATAACAGCAAAAAAAGGGAAAACTTGTATTATTTTGTTCACTTCCAAATACCTAGAAGAGTGCTCAATAAATAATTGTTAAATATATTAACTAAAGTAAAAATAATTATAAAACTTGAATCCTTCAGTTTTCAAACTCTCATACAAAAATTTCTATAAATAATAAAAGCATAATATGCTAATTAGACTGGACACCCTTCCAGATGAAGCCAGGGCTGCGAGGGAAACCCAGGTCCCGGGTGTCTGCTGGCGGCCGGAGGGAAGCCTGGGTCTCGGGTGCCAGAGGGAAGCTGGTGCCAGCAGCCGCAGGAAGGAAGGCCTACTCTTGCATGAATTTTGTGCATAGGGCCTCTAGTTTATATATAAAAACCATACATCACTAAATACTTCAGGACACTCAGAATCACTGAATTGAGCACTGGCAGGCCTTCGATCAGGGGTGGGGAAGCTTTTTTGTGCCAGGGGCCATTTGGATATTTATAAGATTACTAGAGGCCCAGTGCACAAATTCATGCATAGGTGGGGTCCCTCTGGGTGGCCTGCAGGGATTGGGCAGAAACCCACAGTCCAGCGCCACCTGCAGCTCCTACCTGCTGCTCCCATTCATCTTGGCCCCACTGTGCCTGGTGTGGGCTTGCGCCCAATCAGTCCCTATCAGGAGAGGCTCGCACCACCGCTGCAGCACTCACCAGCCGTGAGCCCTGCGTCTGGCGCCCTCCTGAGGGGAGTGGCCTGTGGGATTGGACTGAAACTGGCTCTCCAACATCCCGTAAGGTGTCCCAGATTGCAAGAGGGTGCAGGCCAGACCGAGGGACCCCACCGGTGCACAATCGGGGCTGGGGAAGGACCACAAGAGGGCTCCAGGGTATGCCCAGCCCATCTCGCTCAGTCCCAATCGGCTGGACCCCAGCAGCAAGCTAACCTACCAGTCGGAGTGTCCGCCCCCTGGTGGTCAGTGTACGTCACAGCGACTGGTCGACCAGTCAACTGTCTGCCCCCTGTGGTCAGTGCACGTCATAGCGAGCGGTTGAGGGGCCTTAGCATATCATTAGCATATTACACTTTGATTGGTTGAACAGTTGACCAGATACTTAGCATATTAGGCTTTTATTATATAGGATTCGAGGGCCATACAAAATTGTCAAATTAAAAATTAGCCTGCCTGCCCGGCTGGCATGGCTCAGTGGTTGAGCATCGGCCTATGAACCAGGAGATCATGGTTCGATTCCTGGTGAGGGTACATGTCCGGGTTGCAGGCTTAATCCCCAGTTTGGGGTGTGCAGGAGGCAACAGTTGATCAATGATTCTCTCTCCCTTTCCCTTCCTCTCTGAAAGCAATAAAAACATTTAATTAACTCACCCTTACTGCCTTGACAGGGCCAGACCAAATGATTTCGCAGGCCTTATAGAGCTCTAGGGCCAGACATTCCCTACCCCTGCCTTAGATAAACCCATGTCTTTATTCTTCCCATCTTATTTTTCATGAGACTATCAAGGCCCACAGGCCGTGGTTTGTCCAAATGTCCAAAGTCAGAGAGCTCATTGGTCTGGGTCCTACAGTCAAGTCATTTGCCTCCTAATTTGGAGCTCCTTCAAAAGAAAAATTAATCTAATTCTCACTTGAGGACACGCTTAGCAAGAGGAAGGAAGGGAGAGAGAAACATCAATATGACAGAGAAACATCGACTGGTTGCCTTCTGCACGTGCCCCAACCTGTTATTGAACCTGCAGCCCAAGTATGTGCCCTAACCAGGAATCGAACTGGCAACCTTTCAGTGCACAGGATGATACTCTACCAAGTGAGCCACTCTTGCTAGGCTGGAGTTCCTTCTACCACTTTATGCGGCCACTCACTCACACACTGAAATCAAACTAATGCAAATAATTTTAGGACCATTTCTGTCCTTTGCCATTCTGATGGAAGAGGGTGCAGTAATAGCAGGTAACAATTATCATCCTACTTTTCCAGTTCTCACCTATCTCCACTTGGAGGACCTACTGGAAATGAATTATTCATCATTTCCCCCATAGGATTCCTCTTTTCCTGAGTTACTTATTTCTATTATGAACACTTCCACTAGCCTCATCTTCTAAATACAACACCTTGGAACCACCAGAATCTCTCCCAAAGTCCCAACTTTTAGCAGATTCCACAGCTCTGAGGGGTATCTTACATATCTCTTCTGCTCCTTCCCATAGCTTCTTACCAGCAATCTGCCTCATACCAGGTCTTGTCCAGACCGCTATCCCAACTGGTCTCCCTAACTCTAGCAGTTCTTTGTCCAACTTAGACCATATTCTTATGTTAAACTAGAGGCCCAGTGCACGAAATTCATGCACTGGAGTGGAGGAGGTCCCTCAGCCCAGCCTGTGCCCTCTCACAGTCCAGGAGCCCCGCGATCAATCGCCACCGCAGAGGGAGGCCCTGCCCACCTGCTGCAGCCCGGCCAGTCCGTGGCCTGGGCCTCCCGCTTTGGGGCGATCGTGGAGCTCCCCCGATTGATCACCCCGCCAGCCGGTGGCCTGGGCCTCCCTCTGTAGGCGATCATGGGGCAATGGCCAGGCCCCCGACCAATCACATGGCACCCACCTTGGCTGGCCTGGCGCCAGTGGGTGTCATAGCGTGGTCGTCCGGATGGTCGTCCCACTGTTCAGCCATTCGGTCAATTTGCATATTACACTTTTATTATTATAGATTAACATTCCTAAAGCTGAGCTCTCACCCCATCATGCTTCTATTGAAAAACCTGAAATGGCTGGCTACCTAAGTGCAAAGCTTCCTTACTCATGTTAACGGTAATATCACCTTAAGTACTCCCTCTCTCTCTCAGGCATCATCTCCCTCTAACTCCCACAGCACTTGGCCACTGCTACTTTGCATGGCCACTGGCAGACACTGACCTTACCTCTGATAGAAACATTAAGTGTCTTATTATTTTCCATACCTATAATACCTAGGCAAGTGTCAACACACTGAGCTTGAAGCTCGTTGAAGGCAGAGGACACACAGAGCTCGGAAAACGCTAGTGGAGTGGCAGAAATTACTATCACTGTGTTTCTCTACACAAACAGGACAGCCTGCTTTGGTAACTACCCTGACTCATGTGTACAAAGTTAGCAGTCATAATGCCCAGTATTCTCAATCTAGTCAGACAACCATTAAAAATAACCTAGGAAATCTGTCAGTCCCCTTCCTACATCTAAATCTAGATAAGGCACCTTTCCCCTATCAATTTGGCTTCTGATCACAGTTTTTATATTCCCTTTTTATTCACTCAAACACTGTTACAGGCAAGGCAAATAGACTCTACAAGTGACCCAAATCCTTCTGCCTTCATACTGCACTCCTTCTCTTCTATCCTCCAACCTGTCCCTCTGTCTCCAGGGGAACTTGTACTCAGCTAACTTTCAAGTAATCCTGGTTACCTAAGTGTTTATGATATGCCTCTTAGAGGCCTGCATTTTGGTAGATTTTTAGACATTATGGCAGACCATGACACTAATTTTAAGTCAAAAAGTTAGCATAAAGATTCTCAAATCACATCACAATATGTAGTCATCTGCCTAAAAACCTGGATCTCCTGAAGAATGCACTTGAAATTTTCTGGGGCAAAGAAAAACCCACAAATTTTATATTTCTTTTATAATGAGAAAAGAACCAGGAAATATTGTTTACAACAGCTTCCTCATTCTTTGTTCTCTCCTTGCAAAATACAGGAAAAAAATCTGCAACAAACAAAGGGCTGATATTTCAGGCAGTTCTGAAAGCACTTTACCCAGATCGTCTCACTGAACTGAGCAGCCAGGTCCAGATTTAAACACAGGAAAGCTGGGCTTAGGACTTGTGCTTTTAACCATTATGCTTTCATATAGTCTTGCACAAAATCTGAGAAACTAAAAATACTAATTAAGTTTCCTATTTTTGCTACAGTTCATACAGTATTTAGAAACTCAGAATATTAGATTACTAGAGGCCAAGTGCACAAAATTCATGCACTGGTAGGGTCCCTAGCGGCTGCTGGTTGCTGGCCGGGGCCTCCCTCCCTTCCCCTGGCCACCTGCCACCGCCAGCAGGGGCTCTCCCTCCCTTCCCCCTGGCCGGCCCCAGACCCACCCTCTGGTCAAACTCCCAGACAACTCCAAGTTGAGGGGACAATTTGCATACTACGTTTTTATTATATAGGAGGATTAGGATGGGGGGGACAAATAAAAGCTATTATCATCACTTGGTTAATAACATCTTATCTACATTATCTCAATTAATGCTCACAACAACCCTGTAAGGTATTACTACTAACAGCCATTAAAGTACAGTGAAGAACCTGAGGCCCAGACAGGTCAAATGCTGTGCCCAAGGTCACAAAACTTGAAAATGACAAAGTTGGCATTCATACTCTGGAAGTCTGATGTCAAACCCCTACTCTGACTAGCTAAGCTAACCACACTATGACCCAGGAAAGTTAGGTGGCCTGCTCATGAATTCATACCCTAATTCAAGTCTACTGTGCTTTCAGAATGAAGCATGGTATAAAAAACACAGGCTTTGAAGTCATATAGATCTGGATTTGAATTCTCTATTATCAATTATATCTATTTGGACAACATTACTATACCCTTGTGAGCCTTAGTACACTCATCTGAAATATGAAAATAGCATGAAGGTTCTCAAATCACATTATAAAATGTAGTCATCTGCCTGTAAAGTTATGATCTAATTCAATTAAAAGAGTAGTTGTAAGGAGCTAAAATAAATTACTATGAAAAGCAGTGAGCAGAGGCTGCTAACTAAATATATGCTCAATAAATACTATTTCCTTTGTATCTGCTTTTCCTTTCTAAATCCTTCTATAACTATACAATACTGTGTGGTTCATGTATGACCCATTCAGTCAAGCAAAAGCGTGAGTATTCCCAAAAAGAGAGGCAACCTAAGAACACCTGGGTCTTGCCCATGGGGAGACTGGTATATAACTCAAGAAATCTCTAGTTCTAAAACAAAATTACTAATCTCATGCATTCTCCAATGTTAGAACTGTCAATGTTCCACAGAAAAAATTTTATTTCAAAGATAAATTCTAAAGTTGTCTAAAAATAAAGAATTGCCCATGAATTAAAGCTGAAATATAAAAAGGCTATTTAAATTTAAAAACAAACTACTGGAGAAAGCATCCATATTTTGAAAGGATTGTGGTAAAATATTCTGATAACTCAGGTCCAAAGAAGACAGTGAGAAGACAGAGTGGTTAACTGGGACTAATACACATGTTGGAACCTTCGTCTTTACAGAATAGAGGAGAAATTATCTTTAGATTAGCATTATTCTCCACACAGAGGAATACTGCCTCCCTTATTGTTAATATCCAGATGTTCAAAAAACTGAGAAACCCAACGAAGCTATTTTCAAACCTACCAGGGCCACAAATTCCCCCATTTGTCTGGCTGCTCTCTAAGTGCAGAACTATTTCTCCCTCTTCTCTCCTTCCTATAGCATAACTGTTTACTCAAAGCACCTGTTTGGCAAGTGCTTCTTCTTGACTTGAAATTCAACACTTAGCTTCAAACATTGTATTTCAGAGCTCTCCCACTTGCCCAAAGGTATTTTAAAAAATTTGCACTGTTTGCCAATGAACTCTGAGGCAGAGTAAAGATTGCTAAATAATTCCTCAACACTGTGCAGAATACTGTACCACCAAAGGACGCAATACAAACATCACCAGATTCTGAGGTAGGAAGCATCTTCCTTCTTAGAACCTACTCCGCAGAGTGACCCCAAAATTGTTTTTGTTTTATTTTTATCAACTCCAAGTAAAACAACGACTTTCAGTCTGAAAACATTTATATCATTTTTAGGGAGCCTCTAACCTCTGGTTTCACAGGAAAGCTACCCTCCCCTCCCTTAAAATACATAAAAACTCAGACCTGGAAGAGATCAGAAAAGGTACATAATAACGGGTTGCCGAATGAATGCTATCACCGTGGTTGTGTTCTACAGCAGAGGCATGTAAGAAGTACCAGAGGGACACAGGGGGAATGGCTCTAAGTGCCAGAAGAGCTGGGGAAGATGTAAGGATGAGGGTGGCAATTCTTGAAGAATGAGTTCACCACACAGAGAAAGGGGTAGGACATTTCAGGCAGAGGTAACAACAAATGCAAAGGAAGAGGCACCAGGAGAGCACCCAGAGGGAAAATTGTTTGGTGTGGCCAAAAGAATATGGTACATATAAGGGAATGACAGAAGAATCTGGAAAAGTAAACTAGTTCAGATTCTAAAGGGTCCTAAATAATGTATTAGTACTTGGACTTGATCCTCCAGACAATGGGTATGTGTACAGATCAGGTCGTAGCTTAGAAACATGTCATGCCAACTAGAGTTAAACAACTAAATAGAAGTCAAAGAACCAAATAATGTTTGTTCTTACTTATCTTTAAAGATAATAAACATAAGCTCTTAAGGACTTGGCAAAACTCACATACATGTACACACTTCCCAAGGATATCCTGAGTTCAGTAAAGACCAAAATCAATTTTAGACAGAAAGCTGACAATCATCAAAAGCATGGTCCAAACCCACATCAATATTTAATTAAACCAAGTTCTAAAAGGGCTAAGGGACTTATCCACGATCCTATAGTATTTAGTGCCAGAGCTAGTACAGAATCTTCGTCCAGGGTACTTCCTAGTTCCCCACAACTCTAAAAAACTTTGTTGTTCCTTTCCCTGGTGCACAGAAAGTCTCTGAAAGGCAGGAGAGCCAAAGAGGACACAGAGGAAAAGTTAGGGTGTGAGATGAATAGCATGAATACTAGAACCAGGCTTACACGCTGCGAGCACTACATAAATTCTCACCATCATTTATGATCATCTCTTTGAAGAATCATATAATCGCTGGTGGTTCACAGCAACCCCCACTGCAGCTTTTCATATCTGATTCGAAAGTAGGCAAAGACCAAGAGCTGTAAACATGTGGTGATGTTTCTACCTTTGGGGGGAGGGCTCTTGGAGTCCTCCATAGACAGCTTCAGCTGCTGTATGAACTCGCCGCCATACACACTTCTTTCTTGCCAGATGTTCAGCAATCTTTCTAAAGGTTTTTTACAGCCTTCATCTGCCTCTCTGCCCAGAAAAGATGAAAAGATATATATATAAGCTTATGATTTTGTTTTTAATTAAGATAGATGTACTTTTAAAAAAATCAACAACTGACTAAAATATTCACACATTTTAAAACAGTAGGAAGAGTAAGTTATATATTGTGATAAGTGGATACCTAAAACTTGACCAGAAAACTACATTCTTCCTGTGGCGGAATGAGAGAGATTATATGGTAAAAGTAATGTGTCTTTTATCCCCTTTAAAAGATGGGCAAGTAGGACAAAAAGTCAATGGCTGATTTTTACAGACAGAATTATCAAAATTTGATACTATCAATCAGATTTGTCCGATTGCTGCCTAAGTGCCTATAGCCTCATTACTGGTCTCCCTATCAATCATGACAGCTCGCTTTTTAAGAAGACATTAACTGAAATCTAGTGCCAGACATTCTACTGGAAACTAAAGGGGACCAAAACTTTTAAGGAAAGAAAATAAAAGATTAAAAAAATAAAAATGTTTAAAATGGGGAATAAATTCACTACTACTCATCAATGCTAGCACACCTCTACATGTATAAATACAATCATATACACTGGTCTCAACTTTAAATTAACTGCTTCATAATTATCTTAATTCTGGGGTAGGTCTGTATTCCATGTTCACACAAAGATAATCTTAAAACACACTGAGCATAATACAATCCTTAGTAATTTAGACACTTTTTCCTGATATATTACACTCTTGAAACAGACGGTTTTTCAATGAGGTGGCTGTAACTAACATTCAGTGTGAACCAGTGGCTTACCTAAAATGTGAGACAGCAAGTGGAAGAGTGGGGGAAGACTTTCTGAAAGGAAACAAATTCCCTCATCATCCACCTGTAATTATGAATTTTTCTGGTCTGCAGAGCTGTCTGGATGTTAATGATCTTACACTGAATGACTTCAAACAAGAAGGGATACCCTGACATCTTCATAAATCAGTATCTTTAATTTAATAGGAACTTCATCCCAAATCAAGATGACAATTTCATCCACCCTGAGCCCTGACAGCACTTTTCTCAAACTTATGTTAATACTCATGCCTTATCTTTCAGCCTTATCTAGTCAGACTATATTAGTTAAGAATTATTAGTGTCAAATTTCACTGAATTGGGGTTAAAATACTAAATCAGGGTACACACAAAGTAGTTTGTTGTTGTTGTTAAACCTTTTTCTTTTTTTGTTAAGCCTTACCCGATGATATTTTCCCATTGATTTAGAGAGAGTGGAAGGGAGGGGGAGAGACAGAGAGAAACATCCATGTGAGAAAGACACATCGATTGGTTGCCTCCCACACACGACCTCACAGGGCTGGGGATAGAGACTGCAACCGAGGTACATGCCCGTCACTGGAATCAAACCTGGGACCCTCAGTCCGAGGACCAACGCTCTATCCACTGAGCCAATTCAGCTAGGGCAAATCTTTTTCTTTTAGTCAGAGGTGAGTGAGAAAAAAATTCCACTAATCTATATATGTAAAAGCCTACACGATCTTTACGATGAAACAACTGGTCGCTAAGATGCGCACTGACCACCAGGGGGCAGACGCTCAACGCAGGAGCTGCCCTCAGCCCACAGGCGCTGATCACCTGATCGGGGCCGGGTCCCCAGGCTGGGATGGGGAACGAGGGGAGGGTGGCAGTGGAGGTGGTCCCTTTCCTAGGAGGGCCAAGGGCCAGCTCCCTCCTTGGGGCCAGCAGCCAACCCCCTGGGTCCCTACCCCTCTCCCCCCAGTCAGCAGGCCCCAAGAGCCCAATCAGGGCCTGCTGGCCAACCTCCCAGTCCCTCCCCCCGGCCAGGCCCCAGGCTGGGGCGGGGAACTGGGGATGGGTGGCACCAGATGTGGGCAGTGAGGGAAGGAGGGGGGGAGGCAGGAATGCAGGGAACCTGATCGGCCCTGATCGCCAGCCAGGCCTAAGGATCACACCAGTGCACGAATTTCATGCACCAGGCCTCTTGTAGTTTATAAAACTTAAAGACATGAACTAATTACTTGATATTTGTATAAAACACTTACTCCATCTTCAAAATATATCTAGAAACACATTACCTCTCACCACTTCCTCAGCTATCAACTTGGTGGAAGCCACTATCATCTCTTGCCTGATTACTACAATATAACCTCATTACTGCTGTCCCAGATTCCATCCTTGTCCTCCTACAATCTATTATCAAGTTTAAAAAATAGAATTCTAGCTGCTGTGATAAGGCAGATGAGGTCACTCTAGCTCAAAACTTCCTGTTTGTTCTCCCTCTGAATAAAAGTGGAAATCCTTATAAAAACTACAAAGCCCGTTATTTATCTGGCCTCACCTCTGTCCTCCTCTCCTGCCTCAGGGCCTTTGCACTTAAAAGTTCATTTTGCCTGGAACCACATTCCCTCAGGGTGGCATGGCTCATTTGCTCTCCCTCTCTAGGTGTGGATTTACTCACATAGCAACTTTATAGTGAGTCCTTCCCTAATGCCCCTATTTAAAATTACACTCCCTACCCCTACTTAATTCTTCTCCATATTACTTATCTTCTGATATGCTATACAACTTACTTGTTGTTTGCACTCTTTCCATTTGAATTTAAGAGCAGGGGTCTGTTCTACCCCACCCCTTTGCTATCTCTATCCTAGAACAAGCTCAACAAATATTTGTCTAATTGTAATCTTTTTTTAAAAATTTAGATAGGTTTCAGTAAGCCATACAATCAGTTAACTTAAAGCAACAATCCTACTACTTCAAGGTCATTCATGCCAACATCAGATATCAACTAAGCACTCACCTGCTCATTCATTGAGGTTTATGAAATACTGTGCTTGGAATACAAAGAATTAGGCCTAGGGCCTGACCTCTAGGGCTCAACCCAATAGCCTTTCACCTTTCCATACCGTACCTGGGCTTCACATTCTAGCAACACTGGACCATATGTATTTTCTACTCAGAATTTGCTCTCTCTTGTACATGTGCCTTTGCTCATGCTATCTCCTCTCCTTTGAATGGAACCCTTAAAGTATTAAACAAGATGAGGGAGAAGTTGTGAGTGATTCAGGTGGCTTAAGTATATGGGGAGTGTGAAGAAATAGCAGAAGAATCTAGAGGATTAGAATAGAATTAGATTATAGAGGGTCCCGAATGCCATATTGTAGCCTTTATCCTGAAGGCAAAGGGAAGTCCCTGATTTGATCAAATGTATGGTTTAGAAAAATAGTCATTACAATTAGTATAACCCAATGGTCGGCAAACTGCGGCTCGCGAGCCACATGTGGCTCTTTGGCCCCTTGAGTGTGGCTCTTCCACAAAATACCGACTTCTGCGCATGGGCCATGAAGTTTCAATCGCACTGTACGTGCATGCCCGCACTTTAGCACCTAGAACTGAATACAACTAAAGCAATAAAGTAGTTTTTATAATGGAAGAAGTTATCTTCTCATGTTGCACTAACTTGGTTCTAAATTGATAAATCTTTAAGTAAAGAAACACCAAAAAAATAATTGCCACTAACCAATGAATAAACTGGAAAGCGATAATTATATACAAAACTTAGTATGTTGAACACAACTTAGTATATATTTTAATTCTGATTATAAACTGAATCACTGTAAAATTGATCTAAACAGTAAAAAGTGTGTATTATACACACATAGGATTGCTGCTTGAAGTATCAAACCAGCTTGGGGGCCCTTTCTTCCTTTGCAGTTTTAATGGCACTTCCTTGGTACAACTACTCTAATTTCTGTATTTCTGTCTTACCCCATGTATAGTAGGCCTATGGTAGCCTACGAAGGGCAAGAATTTTTTCAAAGTATCCCAACACTTCCAATAGCACCTCATTTATAATTGGAGCAGAAATGTTCCTCTGCAACTGTACAGAAAAGAGTTAACACAGCAAGCCTGAGACTGCTACCCTCAGAAAGGCCTGCTTACAAGGTTGGCCCTTAACAGGCATCTGGGAACTTGGATTTCAGAAGTGTTCCTGCCATTTCCTAACTAGTAAGGGTGGTTTACTGTGATTAAATTATTTGTGCAAACAATATGGTTTATGCTGAACACCTGCATTCTTTCTGAAATATTGGCAGAGGATGCCTGTGGCCAACCACAATAAAAATCCTGGGCACTGAGTCTCTAATGAGTTTCCCAGGTACACATTTCACATATGTTGCCATAATTCAATGCAGGAGGAGTTAAGTATGTGTCCTGTGACTCACTGCAGTGATTTTCAGCCTTTTTCATCTCATAGCACACATAAACTAATTACTAAACTTCTGTGGCACACCAAAAATTATATTTTTGCCGATCTGACAAAAATATAGGCATAGCTCTGGCCAGGTGGCACAGCTGGTTGGAGTGTTGTCCCATATACCAAAAGGTTGCATGTTCAATTCCTGGTCAGGGCACACACCTAGGTTTTGTATGTGATCCCTGGCTGAGGTACCTATGGGAGGCAGCTGATGTGATGTTTCTCTCTCTTCCCCCTAAATCAATAAAAGCATATCCTTGGGTGAGGACTTAAAAAAAAAAAGGTATAATTTTGATTCATTCACACCAGCGACTATCGTTGTGTTGGCTATTGTTACTTTTTAATCTGACAATCTAAAGGAAAAGAGGTCAGTGTCCTTGACTAGTTAGATATTGCATGTTTTAAAAATTCTTGTGGCACACGGGCTAGAAATCACTGCTCTGACGTGAAAGGACTCTTGGAAGCTTACACTTAGTCTCCTCTGGACTTCATCCCATGCACCTTTTCCCTTTACTGATTTTACTTTGTATCCTTTCTACCTGAAATCACCAAACCTAGGAGTGGTCTTTGGGACTTGTGACACAGTGGTAAATCAATATGTATACAGTGCTAACTCCAAATTTGTCTCCAAAAATTAATTCCCTACTGAGATTTAGATGACAGGCATACCTTTGAAATATTGCTTTTTTGGTTCCAGACCACTACAATAAAGGAATCGTCTCAATAAAGCAAGTTGTATTCTTTTTGCTGGTGGAGGGCCTTGCCTTCAATTTGTAAAAAAACGCATCTGTGAAGTGCAATAACGCAAAGCACAATAAAACAAGGTATGCCTGTATTTTATCCATCTGCCTATCTGGCACTGCCCCTTGGAATATCTACCATAAAAAGTAACATGGCCAAAACAAAACTCTTGATTTCCTCTACCATATTGTTTTCCCAAACCTCATCTCCGTAAGGGTGCCACTTACATCAAAACCCCAAAATAATCTTTGATTTCTCTTTTCCCTCACTACCAACTCATACTCCACTCCCACAAATCCTACCAGTTTACATTTGGGGGGGCGAGGAGAGCAAACCCATCCACAAAGTAAACAATCAATAAACAGAAGCTATTATTAATCTTCTCACTGTTCCTGAGTCCTAGCTGATGTTGCCTCTAGTCCTTACTAGAGCAATACCCTCTCCAAACTAATGTCCCTGCCCCTCACTTGGCCCTTATAACCCATTCTCCAAAGCTAAGCCAAAGGGATCTTTAACAATGTAATGGAATATATTTTTCCCCTGTATAAAACCTTTCAGTGACAAAAGAAACCCCCAAAAAACAAAAAACAACAACAAACCTTTCAGTGATCTCCCAACACTTTCAAGGCATATGTGACTGGCACCTGCCTACCTCTCTGTTATCATCTGATGCCACTATTCCCTTTGCTCGCTGTGTTCTAACCACACTGGCCTTCTTTCTGATCCTCTTGACATGCCAAAATTATTTCTACCTCAAGTTCCTACTTCACATGATTACCTCAAATATCATTTCCTGAGAGAGGCTTTCCTTCACACTAGAAAAGATCCCCCTCTAGAATGCCATTTATTCTATTATGTCCACATTATCACTCTCTGAAAGTATCTTGTTCATTTATTTGTCCTTATTCATGGCTGCTCTCCATTGTCTGGATCAGTTTTTGGTGCATACAAGGCACTCAAATACATGTTGAATGAAAGAAAACTAAGGTGCACAACCATCTCCAAACTGAGAAGAAAACAAGAAGTCATCTGTGTGGGGGAAAAGTCCAAAGTCTGGTTAATCAAACCGCTACTCAAATTAAATCTACCCCATGAGTTTTGCAGCTTTCTGACTTGAAAGGGTTCATTTAGTAAGTTTGGGGGTGAGGGAAGAGGTAGAAAAGTATCATAGACTAGAAGCCCGGTGCATGAAATTCGTGTACTAAGGGGGGGTGGGGGGTGGGCGCGGGGGGAGTCCCTCAGCACGGCCTGCACCTTCTCGCAATCTGGGAGCCCGGCTTTTGGCTGACCAGCGCTCCCCCTGTGGGAGCACACTGACCACCAGGGGGAAGCTCCTGTGTTGAGGGTCTGCCCCCTCGTGGTCAGTGCACGTATAGCAACCAGTCGTTCTGCCATTCAATCGATTTGCATATTACCCTTTTATTATATAGGATTCCTCATCAATTTTGGTCGATAGTAATAGGTAAATTATCTTTGTTCATCAATTGGCCAAAGGAAAACCATACAGAGAGCATTTCTAACTATAGATAAGGTACATTACTATTGAAATGGAATGGCTGGCCTTTCTGTTCTAACAATGGTAGGGGGAGGGGCTTGGAAACATGGGGATCCCAAATATAATACCCAAATACAACACTAAAAGAACTAGAAGAATGCAAATAATACTACTACTAATAATAAAATAAATAACTTGGGGATTATTTTTTTTATTATTAAAAAGGACCATGTTTCCTTCCTCACAATGCCACAGTTCCTCCTAGATAGGTCTTAAGATGTTACCAAGTAGAAAAGGAATTTTCTTTTTTTTAATTTTTTTATTTTATTGTTTTATTGCTTAAAGTATTACAAAGAGTATTACATGTGTCTCCTTTTTTTCCTGCTCTTAACAATCCCCCGGCCTCCCCTACCCCCCAGTGTCTTATGTCCATTGGTTATGCTTATATGCATGCATACAAGTCCTTCGGTTGATCTCTTACCGCGCCCCCCTCCCGCCCCTCAACCCTCCCCGGCTTTCCCGCTGTAGTTTGACAGTCTGTTCAAGGCAGCTCTGCCTCTGTATCTATTTTTGTTCATAAGTTTATAATGGTCTTTATTATCCATGAGTGAGTGAGATCATGTGGTGATTTTCCTTCATTGACTGGCTTATTTCACTTAGCATAATGCTCTCCAGTTCCATCCATGCCGTTGCAAATGGTAAGAGTTCCTTCTTTTTTACAGCAGCATAGTATTCCATCGTGTAGATGTACCACAGTTTTCTAATCCATTCATCTACTGATGGGCACTTAGGCTGTTTCCAGATCTTAGCTATGGTGAATTGTGCTGCTATGAACATATGGGTGTATATATCCTTTCTGATTGGCGTTTCTGGTTTCTTGGGTATATTCCTAAAAGTGAGATCACAGGGTCAAATGGGAGTTTCATTTTTAGTTTTCTGAGGAAACTCCATACTGTCTTCCATAGTGGCTGCATTCCCACCAGTCTGCATTCCCACCAGCAGTGCACGAGTGTTCCTTTCTCTCCACATCCTCTCCAGCACTTGTCGTTTGTGGATTTGTTGATGATAGATAGCCATTCTGACAGGTGTGAGATGGTACCTCATTGTTGTTTTGATTTGCATTTCTCGGATGATTAGTGACTTTGAGCAAGTTTTCATATGTCTCTTGGCTTTCTGAATGTCCTCTTTTGAAAGGTGTCTATTTAGGTCCTTTGCCAATTTTTTGATTGGATTGTTTATCTTCCTTTTGTTAGCTGTATGAGTTCCCTATAAATTTTGGTGATTAGGCCCGAAAAGGGATTTTCTATCCTGATATTTATTGTTCATTCTCCTTCTGCCAACTCCTTCTATTTACCCTTTTCTGAATTTGGGGCAGCTAACGATTACTGTTCAATTTTTAAATAAAAATGTTATATTTAATAATGCTACAGAAAACTATTTTAGTCAATTTCCTATACCCTAAATTAATTAACTAACTCATTAAATATTTACTGAATCCCTCTCTGTGCCAGGGCAGTCCACAATGTTGCCCAGCTCCTAGGACACCAGCATTCACAGCAAGGCTACATAAATGGTATCCCCTTAAAGCTACATAACCCAGCAGCTCTGTGCCAGACACTTCACTAAGCGCATTCCTATGAAGCAGCAAAGACCTTGGATGAGTCAATGTACTATGTACTTTCAAACATACTGCTTTGCTTTTTTTTTTCTTGCATATGCCCTGACTGGGGATTGAGCCTGCAACCTTGGTGTATCAGGACAAGGCTCTAACCAAGTGAGCTGCCCTGCCAGAGCATTTTTTTTCCTATTGATTTGAGAGAGAGGAAGGGGGGGGGGGGGGGGAGTAGGGGAGAAAGAAAGGATGTTTCAAGTGCTAGACTGGATTTGTTGTTCCACTTACTTATGCATTCATCATTTCTTATATGTGCCCTATCCAGGATGGAACCCACAACCTTGGCATGTTGGGACGAGGCTCTAACCAACTGAACTGCCCAGCCAGGGTGACCATACTGTTTTACTTTAGCCTCACAACTCTAATTAGGAAACTTGGGCTCAAAAAGCTAAGTATCACATATAGTCACTCAGTGTTGGAGGCAGAGCTACAGCCAATGTCTAAGAAACAGAACTAAATCTCCTCAAAACAAGAAAAAACCTATCTCCAGTTTCCAACAGCTACTCTAGTAGTTTGTTCTAAGTTTACTCTGCTATAAGGAGACAAGTTCATAACACATTTTCTTTGTTCATCAATTTATTCAATTTCATAACACATTTTCTTCAGTGCCCATGTTCACCAGAAGAGCGAACCAGCTATGTAGTGGATAAACAAGTCTTTTTTTTCCACCTCTAGAAATCTAGATGTAATTTCTTTCTTTTGGATTTCTCATTTTATTCCTTTAAATGTTTTAAATCTTTCATGGAGTACAGACTTATTTTCACATTTAAGACTTTTCACTTACACTTTAGACCCTAGAACAATTTTTATTTAACCCACTAGTCTCCTTTGTGTACGTCCCAATTTTCTTTTGCAAAGACATTTATTTTTTTATGTTTACTGAATAATAAGTTAGTGCAAAATTGTTTTTCTCTGCTCTTCCTATGCAACTAACTTGTGTGTATAGAAAAACGACTTGTTTTTAAATGAATAAGAACAATTTATAAAACTTTTAATCAAATGGATGTTCTCTGTGATACTAGGTATATGTGTGCTTTATGCTCCAGTCCTCTCTGTTATAAAACACAACAGTGCAAAGACTTCATATGATATAGCCAGAGCAAATATCTACTTTCCACACTAGTAATTACCTTTGCAGCGACAGTAATGACCACTATTTCTAGTAAACCAGACATCCAGAAGGAAGTAAGTAAAAATAAAGGCTAAGTAACTAATTTCTTGCTAATAAGGTTTTGTTACTGGAAGGTTCCCTTGTACTATTTGGCTTTATGTTTTAGACCATAAGCTAGAGACAATTCAGCCAAACAAAGAAAAATACCATACTCAAGAAATGAATTCAATAAATGACTACATCTAGGGAAAAGGATGATTCAAGTGCTAGACTGAATTCCTTAATGCATCAAAATGTTTATATGGCTGAGGTAGTTTTTAAGGGCCCAGCAAAATATAAAACCATAACTTAGCCTTCACATCACTCTGTGAAGCACATCTATGTAAAGTACAAGTTATCCATTTACAAAAGTTACCTTGAAAAAGGAAAGAACAAAAAGGAAAGGTGATATATTTTAAAATAAAACAAAAAAAAGAGACAACATACCTGGCAACATGAGAAAAAGCATCCACAAGGACAGATTCAAATTCTCTAGTGAATTCAGGTCCTTTCCTTTTACTGTTTTGGATGACATCATTTGCTAAATATAGAAAAGTAAGCTTTCTATTTGATTTGGCTGGAAAAAAAGAAAAGATAATTTAACTTACATTAAGGAAATTCTCAATTCACAATTCTTTGCCCTAAGCTACTCCTAAGTTATATATTAAAACAAGCATTATCTACTTGAGGTCAAGACTGCTACGTGTTTGAAAAACCAACTAAGGAACTCCTAACAAAACTCCAACAAAAGAGGTTTGAGAATACAATTTTTGTAAAAACAAAACAAAAATGGACCGTCTTCATTTCTGTGTTATTTTAACCAGGGTAATTAATGAGCAGTAAAAATGAAGATAATCTGAAGAAAATTCCTAAAGGATAAGCAGTCAATATTCATTCTCCAGAAGACATGTTAAAGCCAAGGTTTTCATTTACTCTATTTTAAAAATGAACTTTTCTAACTCACTATTATTGTCAAATACTGCAAAATGAAAGACTGAGGTGGGTTCTTGTAATTTATGCTCCTAGACTGAGAATTCTCTTTGAACATTCTAATACCCATCATCAGTCAATTACATCAATTCTAAAATCCAGAGCAATCTCTAGATGCACCAATGGATATTATATCTCAAATACAAATATACATTGCTACATTTTTAATGAAAACTTAAACATGTCTGAAATCTGGATATGCAAAGTTATGGGTTCCACAAAAACCATAATTTTTCTCTTATACATACTCTATGTAGTATTTTCTATTACTCTATACTAGGTATCATATATTAAACCATAAAAACTTCAGGCAATATGTCTGAGTTACAGTTGCTTGGGGGAACATTACTGAATTTCCTGGCTATTATGTACATAACTTCTCAACCATAAAGTTACATAGTTACAATTTTTGATCCCAGTTTTCTTTTAAAAGAAATAAATAAGAACATAATCAGACAGTTCAAAACACTAAATTTTCTTAAACCACAATGCCAAAGTACCTGAAAAATTCAAGCAAGCTCTATGTTAACCTTTACACACACCTAGTCCTTACTCCGCTTCTCTCAGAAACGTTTCTTTTGAAATGACACAGCATGTATAAATTCTGACTTAGCAGACATTGACACTTTCAAGTGTAGCCACAGAAGAATAACCCAAGTTAAAAACAAGATTTTTAGAACATATTACAGTTTAAACTGATGACTTGAAGTGCTCAAAAAATTAAGTATGAATATACTGAATTGTATAAACCTTCTGGTAACAACCTAATTTTGATGGCCAACTGGTGAGAAATATTGAAAACCTGGAGCTATGCTGCTACAAAGGTATGATTATGGCAAAGTGTTTTTTTGTTGTTTTTGTTTTTAAGGGGAAAAAACAAACCTTGTTCTGGGGTGTTGCAACAAGTAAAACTACCAAGTCTATAATTCCATGAAAGTTAACAGATTCAAAAGTAAAACAGAACTTCAATAAAGCAAATTTGACTTCACAAAAGCAAAGCTTTACAAATTCCATATGCTTAATGTTAAAAAACTCAGAATTCATATTATAAAATGCTATGGACATTCAAGAAAGATTTGATATATTTTTCAGTATTACAAATATGATAGCTAAGAGGCCAGAGAGTCAAGGTTTTCACTATCTACAATACCAATTATTTTTCATCATCCTTAAATTTAGCAATGAGTACTTATTTAGGATAAAACTTTATCCCTCCACATCCAGCATCCTGAACAGTCAATATAAGCACCATGTGTGTAAAGGTGATATGACAAAGTCCTAGAGCACTTTAACATACAGTCATAATGCACACAACACACACACCCTCCACTCCAGCTCCAGGTGACAGCTCACCTGTTCAGATATCTTTCCAATATGACAAAATAGATCTTTTCACACTCTACTGATGCACATTCCAAACTGGTTGAAATAGTTATTGAGCAAAGTATAAATAACTAGTTGACCAAAATGTTCACTGTTTGGCTGGTTTTGACATCTAGAAAAGTAAGTTTGTAAAAAAGGCTTTTTTATTTGCATTCAGGCCAAATTTAAAAAAAAAAAAAAAAAAAAAAAACATTAAAAAATATTCATCTAAGAGTATTTTATACCAGTTTCATAAAGATAGGGAGAATAGAGCAAAAAGAGATAAATTAAGAATCAGTCTTAGAAAAGAAAACAATACATCAGCAATAGAAGAAAATAATACATCAGCAATAGACGTAGTACTTACATTAAGAAAAAGTAATTTTTTTAAATGTGGTAAATATTTTTTGAAGGCAACTCAGAGACAGTTTGTGAACATCTTAGGGAAAATGGCTTGACCATAGATAAAACTGTCCACTTAAAAGACCAGGGTTGGCTAGAACCTAAAGGGTGGTCAATTTGAACATTAGGGCACAAACTATTTTCCACTTTAGTGTAGGGGCATTTTCAGTTCATGAAGCCTGGATATTAGGAAGCTGTATCCTGATACTTGGAAGCGTATCCTCTAGCTTTGCACTGTCCAATATGGTAGCCACTAGCCACATGAATGGACACTTGAAGTATGACTAGCAAAACTCAGGAACTAAATTTTTTATTGTATTTATTTAAAATTTTCATTGCTTAATCACATATTTCAAGTGCTCAATAGCCACCTGTGGCAAGTGGCTACCTTGTTGGACAGCACAGATATAAAACATTTCTATCATCACGGAAAGTTGTATTAGTGCTGTTTATTCAAAATGTCAGAGACCACAATTTAACTCCTACTAAGCAACTTTTTAACTGGGTAACAGGTACCATGCTAAATACTGTAGGTGTTACAAAGAAACAAAAGGTCTAGTTTCTTCCTCAAAACACAACCTAGTGAAAAAAGAGGTAACTAGAAAGAATGAAATACAGAAGTCTCTCAGTATTATCTACGAGGGGGTTGGGGGGTTGGTTCCAAGACCTCCTCATCCTCCTAACCCTAATACCAATATCTACAGATGCTCAAGTCCCTTATATAAAACTAGAGGCCCAATGCACGAAATTTGTGTAAGGGTAGGCCTTCCTTCCCCTGGCTGCCAGCTTTGCGGCCTCATTCCCCCCCACCCCCACCCGCCTTGGTCTAGCGCTGCCCGCATCCACTGCCACATATCCCACCGGTTCCCAGGTTCTGCAGAGCCCCCGGATCAATCACCCCGCAGAGGGTGTCCTGGGCCTCCCTCTGCGGGGCGAACACAGAGCCCTCCCCAGACCAATTGCATCGCACCCGCCTTGGCTGGCCTGGCCCCAGTGTGTCATAGCGTGGTTGTCGTTCTGTTCAGCTGTCGGGTCGATTTGAATATTATGCTTTTATTATTATAGATGATATATAGCATTTGCATATCCTAAGCAAATCCTCCTATATATTTTCAATCATCTCTAGATTACTTATAATACCTAATAAAATATAAACACTATGTAAGTAGTTGCTACATTGTATTGTTCAGGGAATAATGACAAGAGAAAATAATGACATGTTCAGTACAGATGCCACCATCCTAGACCTAACTACACAGTACACATCAGCAACACCATAACATTTTCTTTTGAATATTTTCAATCCATGGTTGGATGCAGAACCTATGGATACAGAAGGCCAACTATAAATGTTAAATTGGTGTGGGATGGGAGGTAGTGATTAATTCTAATAAAAGCGCTACAGGTTTGGTTGGAAGGTTATGATCACGTTCACTTATTGCACGTAATTGCACTGAGGCACTGGGTACTTGGAAGCACAAGTTTTGGTGTCAGAGAGCTCTGGGCTCAGGTCCCAGCTGTGTGACCCGAAACAAAGCACTTAATCTTCCCATACCTTTATCTTCTTATCCATAAAATAGGGATAACAATGCTGGCCATAACTTTCCATCATGTGAGATTAGGGTTAAAGGAGCTTCATGAATGAATGCACTTTCTAAATGGTTCCCCCATCATCACCCCAATAACTCAAGTAGGGTGAGGTGGGGAATCAAGAAGGCTTCCGAAAAGATGTGATATTTGAGATGGACTCTCTAACCTGACTCAGAGCTTACCAGATAGGATCCTATAGAGGCAATTCACATTTTTTCACATCTCAGACGTTAGAAATACTGTATTTGAATGGCACAGTGAGGTATATGAAGGAGGTTCTGGGACCTGTAGGCTCTATTCCCCAACTTCCCAGAAGGCTGAAGGGACCTCTATCTTAGCATAGTACATATTTGGAGGTGGGTCTCTGCTAGAGGACTAGAACTGACTCTCCTGAAAGAATCCTGAATTTTGAGCCGAAACCAGTTTGGCTCAGTGGATGGAGCGTCGGCCTGCGGACTGAAGGGTCCCGGGTTCGATTCCGGTCAGGGGCATGTGCTTGGGTTGCGGGCATATCCCCAGTGGGAGATGTGCAGGAGGCAGCTGATCGATGTTTCTCTCTCATCGATGTTTCTAACTCTCTATCTCTCTTCCTTTCTCTCTGTAAAAAATCAATAAAATATATTTTAAAAAAAAAAAAAGAATCCTGAATTTTGGTGTCTGCCACCTGCTGTAGTCTGAGCTTCACCAGTTGCAAGGCCTTAAAAATACCACTTAGCCACTTCAGTTTCCTCATCCGTAAAACAGGGTAGAATCCCCATCTCACTAATGGTAGAGAACACAGGTAAGTTGTTTCTTAAAGGGCCTATCACATATAGGCTCTGTGTCCACAGCTTTGCAGCGGTTCTCAACCTGTGGGTCGCGACCCCTTTGGTGGTCGAACGACCCTTTCACAGGGGTCGCCTAAGACCATCCCGCATATCAGATATTTACATTACGATTCATAACAGTAGCAACATTACAGTATGAAGTAGCAACGAAAATAATTTTATGGTTGGGTCACAACATGAGGAACTGTATTTAAAAGGCCAGAAGGTTGAGAACCACTGTGCTAGGGACTCATCAGGATAGCAGATAGCTGCGTAGGTGACCATCTTTCCCCACCAGACTGTAAGCAACATGAAGGTGAAGACCCCGCCTCACCTTGAGCAATCAGTAACCCCATCTCACTATTATTTATCGAATGCCAGCACTGTGTCTGACACCATTTAGATTATTCTCTTGACTACAGCCTCAGATTTTTCTTGTCTGCAAAGTTTCTACTTCACAAGACTCTGAAAACTTAAAAAATGACAATGTATGTAAAGGTATCAGTCCTGGGCCTGGGACATGATAAAACGGCACAGTAAATATCATCATCTCCATTTTATAGGTAAGGAAACAGAGGACCAAAGAGGCTCAGCTGCTGGGGTGTGTAAATGTCAAAGTCAGGCTGCAATTCCAGAGAGTTGGCCTCTGGAGCCAACATGCTTTCAAGCACCCAACCTAGCGCCTGGCACATAATCGGCTGAGATCCAGCTCGATGGTGAGCGGGGTCCGGAATCAATGAAAGTTGCGTGGGAAGAGGAGCCTAGGCGATGTGGCCCTTGAACCTCTCCGCACTGGGAGTCACGGAACCCACTTCCCCGGGCTGTGCTGGGGACTGAGTGGGAGCATACATGCACCCGTCCTGGCATAATGGCTGGCACCGAATAAGGGCTCTGCAAGCGGCAGCTATCCTCGTCCTCATTTTGCAGATGAGAAAACAAGCGGCACGCGGACGGAGAAACTCGCCCAATATCGCCCCGATAGCTGAGTGGCTGAGCCAGGACTCATCGCGGCAGTCTTACTCCACAATCTGCTGGCTCTCGCTCCAAATGCCCAGTCAAGCGCCTGGCACACGACAGGCTCGGCCAGTAACCTCCACAGGGCGCTGAGCACGGCCCAGGTAAAAACAGTGACAAGTGTCAGGAGGAACCCGGAGGGAAAGCGGCCGGCTGGACTGGGAGTCCGAGCACTGGCGCCCTGGGTGGTGGAACCCCTCGACAAGTACCTGAAACCTTCCCGGGCCTCATTTCCCTTTTCCGAGAAATGGGGATAACACTGTCTCCAGCCTCAGAAGCGCGATCAGAGCCCGGGCCTGGAAAGCAACGCTCCTGGAAGAAGCTCGAGGGGCCGCTGCAGGGGGTGGAGTAGAGGACGGCCCCGGGAGGGCTGCGGAGGGCGGGGGGAGGGTGTTTACCTTTGCGCAGCTCGCGGTGCCACACCGAGACGATGGGTCCCGCGTGCTTGCGGTGGTGGATGAGCCACAGAGACAGGGTCTGCACGCTCTGCTGCGAGTTGCTCAGCTCCGAGAGCTTCTTCTCCAACGCGGATTCCGAGAAGGAGGACATGGTGGCGGCGGCGAGGCCCGGCAGGGAGCGGCCTGGGCCGCCCAGTGCGGCGGGAAGAGCGACGGCAGGAGGCCGGGGCCTCACCAGACCGCCCGCGAGACTCTTGACTCACTGACAGGCAGCCAGGCGAGCAAGGGGGAGGGGGATGGGTCTCCGCAGTAACAGCCGCCGGCGCCGCCGCCACAAGATGGCCACCGACCTCTCACCCCGCCGTGGGAGCAGGGTCAAAGGGCAAGGGCCGGAGGAGCTGGACGCCGGGAGGTCTCAGGGCTGTAGATCCGCTCCTCCAGTGGCGGCGGCGGCCTCTCTGAACCTCGTTCAGGGCACTTCGGAGGGGAAAGGAACGCAGTTCGGCGGCGGCCTCCGGAAGATGCTTTCGCCGCTCGCGCCCGCACGCCGGCGCAGTGTGTCTCTCCGGAACCCTTTCTCCCGCTCCCGCAGAACTTATCTGGCGCGGCGCGGCGCGGCGCGGCGCGGCGCGGCGCGGCGCGCTGGTTGCGCGTCACTTCCGGCGGGGCGGAGGAGGCGGGACAGTAAGGGAAAGGCTGGAAGACGAGGTAAGGGAAGAGTGGCGGGAGCCGGAGGGAGATCAACAACTGGTGGCCCTTAGAGGAGGATCCCGAGGGGACACTGAGGCTGAGACCGTGACCTGGGAATGGAGGGAGGCTTTCTCACCTGACAAAATCTGAGCCGCATTCTTCCTCTGTAAACACTGCTCCCTGGCTGCCCACCCCCCAAAGCTTTTTGCTCTGCCAAGCCACCCACGTGCCCTTTCCCGCCTCCATACGGTAGCTCTTACTGTTCTTTCTCCAAAGGTGACGCCGCTACGTCTCACCTGATGGACTCCCATTCGGCTCCAGGTCCACCCTTTAATGTCCAGTCCTTATGTCATAAAACATACAAGGCTGCTCTTGGCTCTTAATTGGCGGCTTTATTTGGGAAAATACATGCTGTCTCTGGGGGTCCATTTTACTGTTCCTCAAATATAAGTAATGTTAACTTTGGAGTTGGAGGCAGAGAAATGAATGGGTCCATTGACCTCCTTTAAGAAACGCTGTTTCAGACATTGAAACCCTTTACTGTTTTCAAAAAGTTTTAAATTCCAGTTATCAAATCAGAGAAATTTGCCTTTCTGCTCTGGGAATAGTGGTAGGAAGTTAGTTTTTGTAGACATATGGAATTTTAGGATTTCCTGATCATCATGGAACTTATCAGTTGTGGGTGGACTCCAGCTAGGAGACAGTCTTCTAGTTGATGCCTGTTTTTGCTTTTAACTCACTGTATTGTAGTTATTTGCTTAGGTGCTTCTCCTCCAGACTAGAATCATAATCATGGCCAACATAGTGAGCAGTTGCTATGATCCAGTTAACAATATTTTCATCTAGTAACTCATTCAGTCCTTAAGACAAATTGTGAGGTACGCATTGTGTAATTCCCCTTTGGCAAATGAGGAAACAGGCTGAGAGAGATTAGGTAACCTTACCCAAGACCACATAACTGAATTTGAGGGAAGGAACTGCATCTTATTTTTTTTACCCCAATAGCTGATTCATAGCTGATTAAGTAAATTACTATAAAAGAGGTGAATAGCCTAAAATCACACTATCTATCTATCTATCTATCTATCTATATATGCAAGTTGTCCCCTCGGGAGTTCTACCTGGAGACCAGGAGTTCGCTCGCTTGCTATGACATGCACTGACCACCAGGGGGCGGCGCAGAATGAAGGTAGGCCCTGGCCTGCCCTGATCACTGGCCAGGCCTAGGGACCCTACCTGTGCACGAATTTCATGCACCGGGCCTCTATTCTAATTATAATTATAACCTAGGGTCTTTGAGTCCAAATCTAGTGTATCTATCTTTGTGTATTAAGTAACACTCATATACTGAGCACTTTTATACTGAACCACTTTTTTTAAAAATATATTTTTATTGATTTCAGAGAGGAAGGGAGAGGGAGAGAGAGATAGAAACATCAATGATGAGAGAGAATCATTGATCGACTGCCTCCTGCACACACCCCAGTGGGGATCTAGCCCGAAACCCAGGTATGTGCCCTTGACTAGAATCGAACCTGGTACCTTTTAGTCTGCAGGCTGATGCTCTGTCCTCTGAGCCAAACCACCTAGGGCCCAAACCACTTTTATTAAGCACATTACATACATTCTTTTATTTAATCATTACAATAGTCCTATGGAGTGGACATTATTATCACTATTGGATAAATGAGAAAACATAAAATATGGGTGAGTACCCAATGTCACTTGGACATAGGAAATAACAGAGCCAGGAGTCAAATCAAGGTTATCTGATGTCAGATCCCAAATTCTTCACTCCTGAGCCAGTGGTTCTCATTCATTCAGTGAATAATTTTGAGTATCTATGTCTAAAGCACTAGTCTAGGGTAACAGAATCCATTATTGTGGAAGCTTAACTTCTATAGGGAAAGGCAGATAAACATGCAAGTATAAAATGAGTCAGAAAGTGATGAGTGCTTTAAATAAAAATCAAGGAGGGTAAGGGGGATGAGGAGTGTATGTGTGGGTGGATAGGAGGCTATTATATATGCTGGTCAGAGAAGGCCTCACTGAGACAGTAACATTTGATCAGAGCCCTGAAAAAAAAAATGGGAGAACAAGCCATATACTATGTGGTGGAATGTTGCTCCAGAGAGAAGACCAAGTACAAAGTCCTGAGGTTACACCACTTTGGGCATTTTTAAGAGACAGCAAGGAGGACAGAGTGGCTGAAGTGATATGAAGCAGAAGGCTGGAAACAAGCTCAGAAAATTAGCCTGGGACCCCATAGCATGGGGACTTAAAGCAAATTAATGACTTTGGATATTACTCTGAGTGAAATGAGAGTCCATTGGGTGGTTTCGAGTAAAAAGAGAAGCATTGTGGCTGTTCAATAGAAAATAGTAAGGGGTCCAGGGTAGATGCAGGAAGACCAGTTTGGCAGCTGTTGTAATAACCCAGGTGAAAGGATGACTCAGACTAGGGTGGAGGTAGTAAAAAGGGTTCGATTCTGGGGCTATTTGAGAGGAGGTAACAGAATTTGTTGATTTAGACTCAGATATGGTGCACCCCATCACCACCACCACCTCCCCAACCTCCCGTAGTGTGTGTGGGGCAAGGTGGTCTCAGGAAGGAACAATGGCTTCTGCCAACACTGCTGTCTGGGAGGAAGCTGCCCACCTCCCTTCTCTCCCCCAGCTCTCATGCTCATTCCAGACAATTCTGTTATCCCCATATGTCCCTGGTTCCTTTCAAGCTGCTGCCCCAGCACTGGAGCTCAAAGGGAGGGAGTCCGAGTAAGTTTTGGAGTAAGTCAATGCTTGGACTCTTAAAGAGGAAATGCCTGGACCCTAGCCGGTTTGGCTCAGTGAATAGAGTGTCAGCCTGCAAACCAAAGGGTCCCAGGTTCGGTTCCTGGTCAAGGGCACTTACCTTGGTTGCAGGCTCCTCCTCGGCCCAGACCCTGGTCGTGCAGGAGGCAACCAATCATTGTGTTTCTCTCACATTGATGTTTCTGTCTTTCCCTCTCTTCCACTCTCTCTAAAAATCAGTGAAAAAATAGCCTTGGGTGAGGATTAACAAAAAAAAAAAAAAAAAAGGAATTCCAGCAGCCTTTGTGTCACTCAGCCACAATCTGGTTTTTATAGCCAAAAGTTATGGGGACTTCTCTTCCTGTCACTGCAACCCTGGCTGGAGGCCTGGTATGGAGCTGGGACCTCTTGCTCCTCAGGGCTAACCTCTGAAGCAAGATATTCCTCCCGATTTTTATCTGCCACATTGGGTGTGGGACCAGCATGTTTTGCATCTCTGCTCCTCCTACCAGTTTCAGTGTGGCTTCTTGAATTCCCTGGTTGTAGGGAATCAGCAAGATTTCAGGCGGTTCTGGATGGTGATTGTTCTGTAGTTTAGTTATAATCTTGATGTGGTTGTGGGAGGATTTGAGTACTACGTTTACCTGCACCTCCATCTTGACTGGATGTTAGTGTGGACAAAAGGGGCCACATGCTAACCTGACAAGCTCAGGAAAGGCCTGCATGGCAGTCTTGCAAACTCAAAGACCTAAAGTAACCACAAAGGATGGTCTGAAATTAAACTTTAACTATAAGCAGTTATGATGGGTAGTTACATCCTAGGCTGGTATCTTCACTGACAAGGTCAACCTTTACCTTAACTGAGCCTATCTGGGGTTTTGTTTGTTTGTTTGTTTGTTGCATCTATAATAACATATCTTTGAAATGCCTGGGTAAGTTGTAACTTCTCTTTTTCCGGACCCCTTGGGACACAACCTAATGTGCCTGGGCGCCAGGACAGATAGCACAAATTCCTCCATTGTTATTGTTATCATGTTAATTGTTGACTGTTCACTCTCCTGCACCCACCTAAGCATGTGTCTTTCATTTTACTTGTTATCCAATCCCAGAGGTTCCCCTCTCCCCCGAGCTTTGCTTTCTCCTACCTCTCTAATCTAGCACCAATGGATTTCATGTAACCCACCTATGTCCCTCCTTTGATTGCAATGTATAAAAATAGAGGAAAACCCACCACACTCCCTTAAGATACTGCTCCCGGGCAATTGTTGACAGTTTGGCTCAAATAAACTCAAAAAATTCTTTACACACCCTAGCCAGTTTGGCTCAGTGGATAGAGCATCGGCCTGCGGACTTAAAGGTCCTGGGTTCGATTACAGGCAAGGGCACGTGCCTGGGTTGCAGCCTTGATCCCCAGTAGGGGGCATGCAGGAGGCAACCGATCAATGATTCTCTCTCATCATTGATGTTTCTATCTCTCTCTCCCTCTTCCTCTCTGAAATCAATAAATATATATATATGTATATATATATTTAAACAAATTCTTTACAGGTTTGAATTTTTTTATTTGTTTGCTTAAAGTATTACATATGAATTTTTTTACATTAACATTACTGTTAATTCTTTAAATGATTGGTAGAAGTTCCCAGTGAAACCATCTAAATCTGGAGATTTCTTTTTCTTTTTTTTCCTCTCTTCTTTTTTTTTAGTTTGTAAATAACAAATTAAATTTTGAGTGTAAAGTTATTTGTGGTAGTCTTGTGTTATTCTTTGATGTCTACAAGGTTTGTAGTGCTGTCTCATTTTATTATTGATAATGCTAGTCTCTCTCACACATCTTTCCAGAAGTTTGTCAATTTAATTGATCTTTTCAAAGAACCAGTTATTTGTTTCATTGAGTTTTTTTTGGTTTTTTACTTTCATTATTTATTTATTTTAAATTTTGTTTTATTGCTTAAAGTATTACACAGAGTATTATATA